GTAAGAGGTTGTCCATGATCAAATTATATGTACATGTATGAAAGACATCCTGCTCCACGACAGGCTCTACAAGTACTATATTCTAAAGTAAAAGGGAGAAAAAAAATCCCCTCAGTTTATACACTAGTTTGTTATCAGACCAAATAATATATACCTGGGCATACAAAAATGTTCTAATTGTATACATATTTATATCCACAAGCAAAAAAAAAAAAAGCTACATGTAACAGAACTCAGAGTATTCCTGACCACTAGGAACTCTATCTTAAATCTACCCAATACTAATTTGTCAATAGTAAATAATCCTAGCTGGGCACATACCTCTAATCCCCCAAACTCGGGAGGCAGAGGTAGGTAAATCTCTGAGTCGAGGCCAGCCTGGTCTACAGAATTCGGGGACAGCCAGGGCTACACAGAGGAACCCTGTCTCAAACCAAGGGGGCGGGGGAGAAATCCTAATTGCTATTTTATTTTCTTTCACTATCAACACCCAAGTGGAGTTTATCATTGATAACACGATGAAGTTTGGCTGGAGGTACTAAATATAATGAGACCACTTTGGCTTAAGTGGTTGTCACTAGGAAACACTAATTTAATAAGTATCATTTCACTGGGTATAATGATGCATGTCTCTAATCCCATTGCATCCCTGTGAGTTCACGGCCAATCTCATCTACACAGTGAGAGCCTGTGTTGACAAAACAAAGTATGGGTTTTGGCTTGATTTGTAGTCATGATGGGTGATGTTCAGCACCCGTGTACTTTAGTTTCACTTAGTCACAAAAGGAACAAACACGGGTCAAGTTTATAAAAGACCAACTTGAACCCACCTCTCTTGTGGATCTGGTGCTTAGATGACACAGGCCTATGATCCCAGCACAAGGAAGATCAGAAATTCAAGGCCACCCTCCACTACAGTGAATTGATGCCATCCCAGGCTACATGAGGCTGTCTGTCCAACTTGCAACCATTTCACACTACAGGACCAATCTCTTTGATTTCAAGGCCTTCTGCTTCAATCCCATCCTCTTTATGTCAATGAGTGGCTTTTTGTGTTCAATAGACAAAGTTCACTCATCACTTAAGAGCAAACGTATCATACATGGTGGACACAAATGCTACAACCATGTCAGCTCAAAACTTGTACCAAAGCATCTCCCCAGTACCCAAGTGAAAGGCAGGTGTCAGTGTCGGGAAAGTGGAGACCCTGCCTGCATTAAAAATCAGATCGAGTAGACCAAGTCATTCTAGTACAGTAGTTCATGTCTACAGTGTGCAGGGGAGGATTCTTGAGCCCAAGAGGTTAAGACCAGCCCAGAAAATCCACATGAAAGGCATTAAGAATTTTGTGAAGCTGGCCAGTGGCAGCACAGGCCTTTAATCTCAGCACTTGGGAGGCAGAGGCAGGTGGGTCTCTTGAGTTCTGGTCTACAGAGGAAGTTTCAGGACAAAGTTTATGTGTATGTGTGTGGGGGGGGGGCGTGCCGCAGGATGGAAGGACAGACTATTTCTTCCAACATCATGCCTTACCACCATCACATGTAAGAGGACTTTATAATAAAGCTGAAGGTTTGGAAAAATCAAGTCGTGACCAATATAGTACTCACTGATAATCAGTTATTGAGATACTGAGAAGGGCTCCAAGGGCAGGTCTAACTTTCTCATTTCTACCTCATTGATTGTCGAAGATTTACAAGGACTAAAAAAAATGATAGCACTACCTCAACAGTTTGAAATGGATCTTTCCCCCCAAGCCCCACCCTTTTGTAGACCAGGCTTGTCTGGCATGTGTAACTTCCTGAATACTGAGATTGCAGGTATACACCATAGTCTCACTCTTCAGCCTGATAACCTGAAAGGTGCTATGTAGAACAGACAGGTCCACCACTGCCTCCTGGGTTGGACTAAAGGCACACGCTCCACACCTGGCCTTTTATTTGTTGACATCCCAGATAGAACTTTTCTCCCATTTCTGAAAGATGGTCAGACTTTTGCTCAATGACTCACCATTAGTATTTGCTGCTAACTGGCACAGACCCTGCCTTTCTTAAACATGCAAGAGGGCCTTGTGCTTCTGACAGCTGCACTTTGAGATCTCCTTCCTGGCACCAGAGAGGGTACAAAATGCCCTTCTCTTTCAGTCAGATAAAATCAGATACTGCCAAAAGCCATGGTTCCCGTTTTCCCTTTTTCCTGAGACATGGTCTCTCCATGTAGCCCTGGCTGGCCTGCAACTTCCAGAGATCTGTCCACCTCGAGTGCTGGGATTCAAAGGTGTGTGCCACCTTTGCTTAGGCCTAGACTGCCCAACATTTTCATTTCTTTTCACTTTTGAGTATTCTGAAATCTTGTAGACCAGCTCCTATTTGGTCTTTGCCTGATTCTGAAGTATATTTAGTAAATGGTAGTGGTGGAATGCTTGCCTAGCAGGCACACAGCTCCAGGTTCCATGCCTAGTTGCTACTAATCAAGCAATTTTCACCACCGAAACATACACTAACTATACTGACATGGTTCCAATAGAGAAGAATGTCATGTCATTAAAGTATCTGGGTACTACTGAGGTGTCTCAATGTGCTCTAACAACAACACAAAGAAGTTGCTACGGATCAGTGGCACTTAAGGCAACAAACAGACCGGGATTGCAGTGAGCCCTGGAAATACCCGTCCTGCCCCGCTGCCGCCACACACACACACACACACACACACACACACACACACACACACACACACACACACACACACACACACGCGACAGCACATCTTTATCCTATTTCTGATCTTTGCTACATGTCTTACAGACATCCTCACATCTTGGTCATCACCTTACAAACCAGTTTGGCTCAGAATGACCAAAAACAAAACAAAACAAAACAAAACCCCTCCCAAACAACTCAAAAAGAAATCAAAGACTAGTTGGAAGAGGGCCACTTCCAGCACACCTATATCGGATGCTGCAAAATCTTCAAGTAAGCTAAAGATGCTTCAATGGCCCTTTTTGCAATCCTCATGGCTCATTCTAGTTGAGTTACAATAAACTATTCTTTATTATCCCAGCAATTTTCAGGGAAAACAGCCTACTGGCTTAGACTACACCATCTCCATGGTTCATGATTTATAACAATTCATGTCCTGTTACAGCACACTCTGAAATATTTACAATACAATAGACTTAAAGCAGAGGAAATCACAGCAAAGGCAAACCTATGTCCACGTGTGGGTTCTAAGAGCATATGCAGCACAGCCGTATGGGAGACAATCAGCCTCCCCCTTCATATATATTCTTCTTTATTTTCTTATTATACCTTCCCAAAACAGAGACATTCAACAGTAGTTAGAATGGCCATCTCCCAACATTTCAAAAAGCTGCATCACCCAGTGGGGTGAATAAAGAAAAGAGTGGCAACCTAGAGTTCAGCTGAGTCAGCCACTGTGGAGCCTTTAGTGGTGAGGTCTTCCAACTTCAAAGTGATGTGTCTTCAACGTATACCATCATTTTAGTGGAAAAACTTAATTTTGGTGAAATGAGATTCATTTCCAGACAGGATTAGTAACAGCATTCACTGAATTTCACACTCTTCTTGTGAACTGTGAAGAAAATGAATGGTAGCTAGAAGATCAATGGGATTCCAGCTCCAGCTGCAGATGGGACAAAAGTACACCAGAACAAAACCATTTCTATATTCCGATTCACAAAGCTAACAGCAGTTTGAAACCTGCAACTTAATTACAGACCAATGACACCACAACCTTTTCAAATGGCAAAAATACAAAAAAGTGTTACAAAAATATTTCAGAAAAAGTGCATAGTCTAAGTGCATAGTAAATAAAAGCACTGAAAAATATCTTGCTAGATAGATAGAGAGGGAGTTCAGGCTGGAGAGTTATGACCAACGCTGAACGGTTTTATCTTACACAAACTATACTCAAAAATAGCTTTATGAGACTGATTTCTGGCTGAAAGTATCAAAGGGTTTATTAGTCAAGAAACAAATACCTTAACTGACAAGCATGGCTAGAAAAGAAAGAGAGGCTGCCACCCACCAGCTCCACCTCACTGCGACTTCTGATACTAATACAACTTGATGACAGAATGTGGCCATCATGGAATTAATTATTGCTGTTCAAATTAAAAAAAAAAAAAAAAAAAAAAGGAAAACCACAAGTCAACCCTGACACTCTTACCAAACACGTGCCAATAACAATTCAAGATGACTTTACAAAACACCTACAGTTACACAATAGGCTCCTGGCGGCATTCTCAGACAAATGACCTTTTCATTTATCCTGACATGCGGTAAACGAATAAATTACACCATTTAAAGAATTATTGTCAATAAGTTTCCCCTTCGCTTGAATCATCAAAGGAAAAAGAAAAGCGGCCAGGAGAGCCTGGGAGGAAGCGGGCACAGGTACCTCCAGAAGCGGCCTAGAGGGTCAGCATCTCTGACTCCACACTGGGACTCTCACAGCCATTTCACAAAGGTGTCTAAGAAAAAGATTTTCTACTATGGTTACTAAACCCTTGAACACTTTCATCACTCTGAATCAGAATCAGTCATCTGCTGGCCCCAGTGGCCGCAAGAGTCAATGCCAAAGTTATGGCAGACGCAGTACTGGTATTGTGCCTGTGAGTCATTTAAAGGAAAGTGAAAGAATTCCTTTCTCTTCAGATCAAGACAAAACAAAAAACAAAACAAAAAAAAACCCATTCACAGCAAAGGAATATAACAAATGGCTTGAAGTAGTCTATCAAAAAATGAGGGAAACCGGGCCATGGTGGCTCTTATTTTTAGTCCCAGGACTTTAGGGAGGCAGAGGAAGGAGGATCTCTGAGAGTTCTAGGCCAGCCAGCCTGTTCTATATAGTGAGTTCTAGGCCAGCCAGAGCTACAAAATGAGACCCTGTCTCAAACCATACAACAGAACAAAAAAATCGGGGAGATTTACTTCATGTTGAGTCAGCAAGGCATTTTGTCGTTTTAAAAAAATTTCACTTCCTTACAGAAACAGTTTTTAGTTTTTAATGAACTTGTAAACAAAAAGCTCCCATTTCAAAATAAAAACAAAATCCCAGATCATATAGATGTTTACAGTGATTACATTTATCTAAGCAACACACATACATGTTCAGTTGTAAGACGGTAACTAAATTTCTGTGACAAATATGCGTTTTTAATAGCAAGAACATTATAGAGTTAATGCAGAGTCCTAAGGATAATCTAGTAGTCGCTATGTTTTTTCTTAAGTCTTCACTTTAGATGCTGTTATTTCTAGCACAGGTAAGCAGGCAGAGTCTTTCAAATGCTCAAACACTGGAATCTTTGGTTGCTACCATATCAGCTGGCTTGCAAACAAGAAGCCAACCATTTAGAGAATGTTTTAAGTTAACAACTTGCAAACCCCAGGGATGAAAAACCCTAAGAACACACAATTGTGAACATTTACAACCATCACAACTGTGGCTGAAGACTGTTCATGCCGTTCTCCTGAAATGAGATCTCAAAGCAGTATAGTTCAAAATAAAAGGTTTTAACAAAAAATTGGCATATGCACAATTTCTCCACCAATTCGTGTGTCAACCATTTAGTTAAACTTTTCCACTTAAAAAAAAATGCAATAGAAAACCGGACACCATGTTTCACTACCTCAGTTAATATTCACAATTACAGCGGTTACAGCTCAGGGCCAGCATCAGCAATGCTGCCTAGGCCAGTTTACACTGAAATGAAGTTCTTTACACCAAGTAAATGGTTGTCCACAACCACTGGCTAGTGTACATATGAACTAAAATGTCTAGTTTGGGGAGAAACAAATGCTGCTCCAATCATCTGCTCTGCTGCTTCTCTTCCTCAATTCATGCCTAGAAACCTATTAAAAAATGAAACAGAAAAAGAATGTTACAAGTTTTAAACACTTTTACAAGTACTCCCCAAATTAGGTAGAACTAGGACAGTAATCACGTTTTAGTGGCTGTTGATTTTTATCTTTTATTTTTATTTTTTATTTTTTTAGGAGATGAGGACCGAACCCAGGGCCTTGTGCTTGCTAGGCAAGCGCTCTACCACTGAGCTAAATCCCCAACCCCGATTTTTATCTTGAAAATCACCAAGTTTAACCTTTCAAAAGAGAGTACATGACTCTCTAATTAAAGCCACTATCCCCCACCCCCCATTTGAATGTCTATAGTCCATTACAACCTCAGCACCAATCTCTAAGCTAGAGAGTGGCTAGCCATCCAAACGAGGATGCCCAGTTCTTTCGGACCCAGAACACAAGCTATTTCAGAAACCCAACAGGCAAATGAGAAACATTACTAAAACAACTCGAGTGTGCTTCTAACTAGATCAGAAGCACAAACTACCGTGTATACCATTTCTGACAGAGATTACATATCAACAGTAACGGTTAATGAATTCATTTCAAGCATAACTTTGTGTTGTATCTCCAAGAACTATGATTTGTATACAAAACCCTCACACTCCTCTTCATACTTCTTTACCTCCACTGTTGTGTTCCATAACAGATCAGGTCTCCTCACTGACTTGTGAACTAGAAATGAACAATGCTTTGGCCGTATTTACCCCATCCTGTCCTATCCTGCTGTACAGTCCCCCGCCCCCAAGTGGAAGTCAGGCTTCCACATAAGGATGTTGGTTCTATTGGCTGGTCTTTATGGCTAGAGACAGCATAAACATACCCACCTCTTAATAACCTGAACAGCCCAGAAGCCAGAGCCTCTCTCCCTTCCAAACTTGAGATGATTAAACTACATTTCTGACCATTTAACTTCTTTAATAAAAATCAAAACCAAACCACCACCACTACAGAAAAATCGTGTTTTTGCCAGAAACAAATTGCTTCTTTTTTTTCTTTTCAACCATTGGTGGGGTATTTCCTTTGGGCTTCGTGGGACTTATAAAATACTCCTACTACTTACTCTATTACAAATGATTTTAAGACTAAAACTGGAAAGACATTATTAAGCATTTATAATCATCTTTTTGATAAGCATTCTTTCACCAGTTAACTAGGAACTTTTCATATGGGAGGAAAACCAGACATCCTCATGTATTTGATAAATACACCTAAGCTTTGAAGGCAAAGATGTTCACCCCACCTTCCCACAGTATCTACTAAGAACAGGCATGTAACAAACACCAATTCCATAATCATAAACGCACAGAAAGCAAGCACTAAATAAAGATTATGAGGAGATAGCACTGGCAAACTGAAAATCAAACTGTGCTGCGCACATGTGCTCTTTTGTGTGCAGGTACATACACATGTGTGTGGGCACACTTGTCTGCAGGCTAGATGTTGAAATCAGGTGGTATCTTTCACTATGTCATATACTGATGCAGGGCCTTTTGCTGAACCTGGAGCTCACAATCCAGCCAGCTTGCTCTGGGGATGCTGCCTCTGACTTTCAGGTGCTGGGATTACAGATGGACAACTATATCCACCCATCTCAAAGGTTTTAGAGGATCTGAATGCTGGTCCTCACGTTCTGTGCTGAGTGTTCTTGTCTACTGAGCCACCTCCCCAGCTACAGTAAGGCACACTTTAACAGGCTATCAAACAAACCTTAATTACATCTATAAACCTGACCACACCTGGGGTCTAATTCTAATTGCACAGGCTAAGAAGCTATTAAAATTAAGAAAACTATGAACTAGCTAAACAGAAATGACCTTTATCCCATCAGTATTTGGCTTTAAGTATGAAAGTTATTCATAAATACTGTAAAAAACAACCATTTCCCAGCTAGTAAAACCAGGGTCTCCCTCCCTTTATAATAATTTGCTTCCATCATGTGATTCTACTTTAGTACTTTGTGACAATGAATACACCTCCACACAAGCAGGTCTGAAGTGGAAAACCAGTCACTAACAAACTATAGGCCAAATACAAGACAACTTAATTTCTTTAATAACAGGGAAGTTCTAGGTCAGAAGTCTCTCTTTGTGGACAGTCAGTCTCTGGTTACAATTGTCTAGGGATTGGTTGAAGATGAGCCTAACAATATTCCTGGTAGAATAAAGCAGTCCAATCCAGATTTAGTTCTTCAGCTAGACAGAGCAATGGTAGGATGTTCCACCCAGGTAGCACCCTTCCAATGAGCTGTTCTCTGACGGTACTCCAGAAGGAGAAACCCTGTGGTAGGTCTCCAAGATTCACTCTCTGACCACTACTAAGGACTCTTCTGCAGCGTACTTTAGTCTTTTGTTTGGTTTTAAAATCCTGTAGTCTGGGTGGCTCTTCTAGTTCACCCGTTAAATGAAGGACGAACCTCTTCTGTTCCTATAGGAGAGGGAGAAGGAAGATCATCACCAAAAGTGCATGAAGTGACGATCCAGGAATTCATCTATATTTCAGTTTCTTTTCAAGTCTTCAAATACGGAAAAAAAAAAAAAAGGTGCTTATTTTAATTTTATGCAACAATCATACATTATCCTCTCAAAAAGAAACCTACAAGAATTCACGAATTTACTTCAAACAGGTCCAATTTTTTAAATAGAGCCAGAATCCATTTTAAACAGATGTAGTTATGTTTTCAGACAGTTCCTCCTGCCTCTACATAACTCTGTATTGACGGGATTATAATTAAAGGCCACCATGCAGTTAAAGGATGTTTATGCAGTAATAAACTTTATACATTTGTAGTGGGTGTTCGAAATTTAGGCTCCTTCCATACAATAAGAACGAAACTGTTTGAAGTTATTTTCAACTCAATAATCAACATACAATGTCACTTATATGAAGTAATTTTTCCAACAACATTTTCCTATGGTCTTCTGGTTCTGCAAAATCATGCTAGGTGAATTTTGAATTAAGCTGCCAGTATGTATGTACCCACTACATCCTACCAAACCAACAACCCTATTAACTCTGCTCTACTCTAAAAATGAAAGGAGTGAAAGATGAAAGGATTTTCCATCACAAACTGGTAATTTGTATATAACAGGTTCAACTCATCCTTGAACTGGAGCACCAGACTAACCATTTGATGCCTATCTTCTCTACTCAGATTTCATTTTCTAACAGTTGCTATAGCTGTTAAGTTGAACGTACCTGTTACAAAGGAATCCATCCCAGCTGGCAGATGGCGGCCATTACGCAGCGCTGAGGCTCAGCACCACTGGAGTACTCCAGGCCTTCTGACAGTCATCACAGAAGCTGAGCAGAAGGTTAGCAGGCCCAGCCAGCTTTGAGAAGTCTCTTGCACTGTCATCTTCATTTCTTGCATTGCCAATCTCTCCAGCTTTACTGTCCACAATGAAAAAAGTCGATGGGAATCCCAGATTTCAGCGAAGATTCAGTTCCCTGGTCTTCTCTGGACAGAGTGTATTCAGGGTAGGTCAGTCTCTCCAGGTATTGCAAGGTCTTCCCTTCCCTGTTTTGGGTTAAGTTGCTGAATTATCAGCTGTGGTCCTGGCAGCAGTTGGTGAAGTCAGAAGAGGTTAAGCTACACATGGCAAAGCCCTGTAGCTGCTGGGGACCACTGACACAGGTAGGTTAATGTGATGGAAAACACTTCAAGTCTCTGAAGGCCAAGACCACCTTCAGACTTGTCATTCTATGTCTCAGCTACTTGTGGGTACATCAGAACGAACTGAATCTAAATATCCATAAACTATTTCTTTTTTCTTTGCCCTTTCTAGGTCATAAACAAGTATCTTTCTGAGAATCACATATAGTGGTAGAACACCAAGCCAAGTGGATTGTCAAGGGTTCAGAGCGAGGAACTTTTATCTCCTTTCTGATACACAAATGGAAGCAAAAAATTCAATCTTGGGGCACTTCAGCATTGGAAAAAAAAAAAACAATCTAAGCGGCATTAGGGAAAATCCTTGTCTCTTGGTCTCGATTGGCTTTGCAATGCAGTGACTGAAAGGCCTACATGCAAATATTTCAGAGCAGAGATCTACCTACTACAGGAGAAGCACATACTAGCTAAATAAGCAAGGTTTGGAAGAACACTTGAACACTCTCAGGGAAGGGCTAGAACTTTCTGTAATTTCTATGAAAGAAACATATGCTTAAAGCAACTGCCAAGAAACTAAAAACCAAACCAAAACAGAAACCCCCACAAAACCCAAAACTATAAAAAATATACCAGTAAATGCCAACATTTAGAGGATCTTTCCAGAAGAGAACCTTTATGATAGAGGCCTGCTTGCTGAAGATTTATGAAACTGAATTCATTGACATGCAAGCATCTGAGATTATGATCGAAAGAAAAAAAAAGTTATAATGTATATTCTGAGTATCTTCTACATTTTGTGGGTCTTGGAAAGTCTCACTATATAGTCCTGGCAGTCCGCAACCTAATAGAGATACACCCTCCTTCCTCCCAAGTGCTGTGATTAAAAGCATGTGCCACCACCCCTAGCCACTTTCTATAATTTTTGAGCAGAGAGAAATAACATTGTGTTACCATTATGGGAAGATTCCATGAAATCAAAAGCTGTAATAGCAGAACTGAGTCTATTAAGAGTTTGGAATCACCAACAACCTACATATTGTGAGAGGCAGAGGGTCTAAGACCAACTCCCTCATGCTTATTTCATGCCACCCTTAGGTAGATGTATTTTCTGAGCTTTCTGTATGAAGAGAGAGCTTTCTGTTATGGACACTAATTTCACAGATGTGTAGGAAGTCTAAAGTCCACCTCTTCCTGCCTGTATTTTGTATAGTGGTATAGCTTATTGGGCATCTGTATGTGTGTGTGTGTGTTGGTCAGGAGTCAATCTTGCTGGTTGTTCCTCTGATTTCTTTGCTTTTTGAAGCTGGAGCTGGGGTCTTCCACTGGGACATGGAATGCACTGATAGGCTTAATCCGGCTGGCCAGGAAGTCCCAAGGTTTTGCCTATCTCCACCCTGCTAGCCAGGGCTGGGCTTACAAGCAAACATTACAGCTTGCTAGCACTGTTGTTGAGACAGGGTTTCAGTCTCACTATGTTGTGCTGGGATGGGATTCAGGGCGTGTGCCACACCATGCCCGGCCCTTGCTCGCTTTTTAAATGGAGGTTCTAGGGATTTAACTCAGGTCCTATTCTTACAAAGCGAGCACTTACCAACCTAGCTACCTTTGCAGCCCCAGACTGATAGTTGAGTAGCAAGCAGTATTTTGCTAAAGGTAAAAAAGAAAAATCTCTTGGTAACCCATCCTACCCACCCACCCTCTAAGAAGGAACTCTTCCTATTGCCAAAGCTGGCCATTAACTCCTGAGCCCAAGCAATCCTCTTGTCCTAGCCTCCCAGCAACTAAGACTGTAAGTATTCATGTCACTGAACCTGGCCTTAGAAATGTACCTTTAAAAGCAGTCAATAATGTTATTATTTATTGAAAAAGCCCCTATTTCAGAACATTGCAAGTTCATGTACATGTAATAATTTGCACAACCACTGTGTCTAACGATATTTTCAACTGTTTTATGATTTTAAGTTACTGTTATGAAAAACAGATACAGAAGAAGGCTTAAACTTAAGTTTAATCACTTTTTTTTTTTCAAGGAAACATACTAACTCAGTGGATCCAACTTCTCATCTTTAATACCTAGACAAAGCAGGACAAAAATTCTGCTTGTTTATTAAGTAAGAAACACATAGTATATTAGAACAATGAAACTAGGTCAAAATTAAGATACTTCTTTCTGAAGGCTGCTGAATGCCTGAAGAAAAATATTCTAGGCCAGATGAGATTTCAATCTTAGTTTTAGAAGCTGCAATTTGTGATGAATCCTATCATCCCAACCAGCTTTAGGCAAAAAAGAAAAGAAAAGAAAAAAAAGGGCTTCATTTCATGACCAAAGCAAATATATTTAATATCTTAGTTAAGAGGCTCTATTTGCCTTCGCCTCAACAATAAAACCACTTCTCACAAATACTTGATCCCTACTTCCACACAAGATTATTTACACAATATTAAGAAACCCCAACTGAGGTGCAGAGGCTGAACAGCCTGAGTACTCACTATGCTCTTCAGCTCAGGCCTCATCGTCTAAAATCCCTCCTCCACCAAATCTTCAATTCAATCCTTCCCAAATACAGAAGCACAGAAAGGAAGCCCTCAACTGTACTGAGCTGCTGGGATGAGGATTACATCAGTTCATTCCATTTCTTCAAATGTTCCTCAGATACTAGAAGCTTTTCTTTCTTTCTTAAGAAAGATAGGTCTTATTGTAGCCCTGGAATTCACTCTGTAAGACCAGGCGGACCTGGAACCCACAGAGATCTGTTTGCCTTTGCCCCCCAAATGCTGGGATTAAAGGCATTCGCCATCTCACCTGGCCTAGAATCTATTTTTAAGTTTAAGAATTATTTAAATGCAACACTAAAAATATAGAAAAATACTAATATTTGAAAACCACATTCAGACTAGAGCAGTCTTTCAGAAACAAAAATTTAAAAACCAAACAGCAAAGCTTACCTGCCCACCACTTGCACAAAGCAGGCAGGTAGTAGCAGGTAAGCCCCAGGAAAGGAGACAGTAACATGGAGGCAGGAGTCGAACTCTAAGGCACCAGGAACAGGGAATGGTGTTGTGCTCTAACAGTTCTACTCCTTAGAAGCACTCAAAGTGCCAGAAAGAGACAGAGACAGACTAGCAGTTTAACGGCACTTGCCTCAGTTCTCTTCAATTGACAAGTTCTAACTATAGACTTCAATTCCACATTAAATGAACTCGAGTGCCTAAAGTTCCTTAGCATTTCAATAAAGCACTCCTGAAGGATCATCATGAAAGTGCGATCTGTCACAGTTCATTGGCAGAGAGAATTTGTGACTTCAGAAGACATGCTGAGCTTTGCAGTTAACAGGTTCTCTGCCATCGAGAAGATCGACATGCTGAAGGCAGCGCCAGGACTCGCCTCTTACAATGAGATCACGTTCACAGTTCCCCAGTAAACGCTACAGCATTAACATGCAAACAACAAATGGACAAATATCTTAACACTGTTAGTCTGAAAGTAAGTCAAAATACCATGGCTAACCAGATTCTGTATTAAAAATCAACAAGTGTTAGGTCTAGGATTTTGGATTGATTGGCAATACCATATTCCCAACACCAAATGTTTATTTTGGAAAAGGGTTAATGAATGAGTAAAAAAGATGCAGTTGTTAAAAATGACCCAAAATCCCAAGAGAAATGATATACTATACACACATATATGTATATACAAGTACATATACATATATATGAACAAGGACATTTGGGTTTAAAGTTAGTAGTCAAATTTTCCAAGGACGTCTTTTTTTTTTTTTTTTTAAAAATACAAAGCCAAATTTTCTGTTTTAAAACCACCTCCTTGATCTAACACTGTTAGAAATGAATAAATTACCCAATTTGTATTGAATTTTTCCCTGGAACGTCACTTGGTTCTTGGCTACTAACCTTTCATGTTACTCTTGGTTTTGTCAGTTTGCTTGCCTGTGGGGGTTTGGGCCTGCTGACCCTGCCCACTGGAGGAGGCTGCCTGCTGTGCCGCTTTCTGCTTTAGCATCGTCCAGTCAAACGTGTAATCATACTGGTGGTTCAGGGTCCTGGAAGAGAAAAGGCGTGGTAACCTCTTAGTAATACTGTCCAGCTAAACAGCCTACTCACTTCTCAAGACAGCAGGACGGGTCTCTCTAGATTAAGAGTATTTTCTCATAAGCATGTAACTTCTACGATTCTTCTTTTTCCAAGTAACTTTAAATAATTACTTCTCACATGTCACAATTAAAAGGAAAATTACTCTGATGTACTAGATTAAAAAAAAATATTAACTTTTAAAATAGAAACTGCCTTTTAAATTGTCTCCAAAGGTGTCTGGCATTGTGACACAAACCTTTAACTCCAGTGTTCAGTAAGGCAAAGCTCTACTGAGTTCGAGGCCAGCCTGGTCTACATACTGAGACCCTGTCTAAAAAAACAAACAAAATCAAAATACAAGATTCTCCAAAAGAGCATACTAGGAGTGAAAAAAACAGTGACTCAAGCTGTCAATTACCTAGAAAGGTTCATTCAGAACCTCCTAGGGAGCATGTAGAGAACTGTGAATGAGATGGTGCTAGTACCCTGGGACATCATTTCTGGGACTAATGGATTACTCCCTAGTTTCTTCTAAGAATCTGAAACACAGGCAGGATAATGTCTAGCCTTGAATAGCTGTGGTGCAGCGGCTGGCCCTGAACTCCCCATCCTCCTACCTCTATCTCCTAACTGCTGGAGTCTCTGGTAGACCTCTGGCAGACTCTGTATTTTAATGCTCTTTTCTGTCTTTCCTTTTGTGGGGGAAGGGAGGAGCATATAATTTCAAGACAAGGTTTCTCTGTGTAGTACTGGTTGGCTTGGAACTCAGAGATCCATGTCTGCCTCTGTCTCCTAAGTGCTGGGATTAAAGAAAGGTACCACCATGCCTGACTTTAAATGCCTTCCTATTCGGTACTGAAGAGGGTTCTGTACCATTGAAATTACTGTTCAAGGATTAAAAAAAAAAATCATTTACTTGTAAACTTTAATTACATAATCTCTCCCTTCCCTTCTTCCCTCCAAAAATGCCTATACACACCTTCTTGCTTTAAAAAAAAAAAAAAAAAAAAAAAGGACCGGGCGGTTGCCAGAGTCAGGATGAACCTCTCTAGGTACCGTCTTGAGAAGGCGGCGGCAGCGGCAGCCCGAGCATCCCTGCTCAGCCGGAGAGGGAGCAACGCCTAGAGTTCCCACCCCCTCGGCCATTCCCTTCCTCCCTCCTTTTCTTTATCTGAGAAAGAATTTCAGCTGCCTTATTGACTTCATTTGATTTGGGAAAAAAAGACCATTTTTCATGAATTATTGTTATAACACACACACTCACTCTCTCTCTCTCTCTCTCTCTCTCTCTCTCTCTCTCTCTCTCTCTCTCTCTCTCTCTCTCTCTCCTTGCATCCATGAGTACAATCTGCTCACTCTGTG